GGGGGGGGGGGGGCGTGGCAGTTGTGTGCTTAGCAACGGACCCAGAAATGGACAAGTACTTCCAGTCCACTTTCGGGTCCACCGCCAAGCGTGCAGGGGACCACCCCCCCATGCCCCTCCAGCTCAGCAACTAGCCACAGGGGGGTTACCAGGTGCACCCCAGACCCAGGAGGCACCAGTCGCTGAAGTAGACTGGAAGAGCTTTTGGTCCACTTCTGGGTTCACTGCCAAGCACGCTGAGGGACCACCCCCGGCTCCTGCGGGATGCTCCATCTGCCCCAGCATCTCAGCATTCACAAGCAGCCTGGTACCTTGAGGTATGTAGAAAAAACATTTAAAGCTGTCTGTCTGAATCATCAAATCTTTCCAAATCTCTCCAAAACTGATTTGGAGGGTTCCTATTCGATTTGGAGAGATTAAAGGGTATCCTGATTTTATATGGATTCAGAGAGTTGGCTGCCAAATCTTTGCCAAATCAAAACAATGACCGAAGCTTCACACAGCCCTAATCACTGGCACTGTTACCTGTTCAAATTTCCATCCATCAGACATTGTGGACACCATCTGTGTAAGTTCTTCCTCTTGGCACTGTAGGACCCTGTACACATGCTTGACAGGTCCCTAGAGCAGCAGGGATGAAAGCAAACAGAAACTTAATACCAAGGGAGCAGAGAGCTGGTGTAGCAGTGTCAACATTCAGATAAAGAAATAAAGTTCAGGCTTTGCCTCTCTAGGTCTCCTGCTCTGGTTCCTACCTTGACATTAGAGTGAAAAAGGAGAACCGAGAACAGACTTCCCCCAGCCACCTTTAGAAAAATATACTGGATTTTTTTTGGCTCCTCCTGACTATAGGGACAATTGTGTAATGTGTGAGAAAGGATCTGAGGTACAGTGGTAAACACCTCTCAGTGACTTGGGAGTCCAAGTCCCCTTGAATGTCAAGTCACTTTAGCATGTCACAAAATTTTATTCTTTTAGACATGAATCTACTAATGCAAAAAAATAGTGGTTTATCAGCAGCAAGAAGAATTGCAAGGAAGAGATGCTGAACAGCCATTGTTTTAAAAAGGTTTACTGCTGATAAGTATATTAAAGCAGTCAGGGGAGAAGAGCTCACACTTAGATATTGTCTCTTATGAAGAAAAAAGAGGGGAACTGAATGACTGATAGGATGTTGCTATACTGCAAGAAAGGAAGTATGATCCAGTGGACACACACTGCAGTGTAACTATGTTCTGCCAAAGCAGTAGTGCTGCCCTTTTGTTAATTAAATTACCGAAATAAAATCAGTGCAAAACAAAACCCACTGTCTATGAGAGATGCTCATATAAGATCCTGACTAGGTCAGAAGACTAATATGCTCTTGAGACACCCAAATCACCTTGTAGCTTTTGAATCTTATTTTACCCAACCCTATTCCTGGCCCCTTTTTATCTGACTGTGCATGGTCTCTACCTGGAGAGGTAGAAAGTGGATTGGCTAGCTGATGCCAGGGGCACTCAACTTCCAGTCCATGAGCCAAATGCAGTCCATGCAGTAATGACATCTGGCCTGTAGGGTTCCCCATGTGTTCAGAAATTGACTACAGGGGAGCAGTGGCAATTTAATACCGCCACCTTCTCCCACTTCTAAATATCCAAGCCCTGTGCAGCTGGCTGGACCAGGCCATGCCCCCTTCCCCTGTGTAGCTGTCCCACAGACGTATTGGGCAAAAATGATAAACACCACTGGCCTATGCCCACAGCCACAAAAAAATGCTCTCTCTCAACACACCTGGGATACAGCAGACAGCACTGCCTCCCACCCACCTGAGAGGACTAGAGTCCCGGACTGCTGCCAGCCCTAGGTGCTTGAACTGTACTGCCTGCTCCCCTTATTCCCACCCTCATGGTAAGAGCTAACATGCATTACTTGGGAGGTTCTGTTCTCGTTGTCCCGTATCCGCTCCTTCACCAGCCGCACCAGAGATGCAATGTTATAAAACTCAGCCTCTTCCAGTACCCCTTTAAAACAAGGTGTGGATTTGGTTAGGTTAAGGCAAATGGAATAAGGATGATTTCACTACAGGGAGGCTGTGCATGTCGCCTTTTTTTTTTTTTTTTTTTT